AGACAGCAAAAGAAGGAAGATTTAGAAAGAGAGGAGGGAAAGGCCATCAGCAGTAACTGCTGTTAGCACACAGAATGGTCTTGATGAAATCAACACCATCAGGAGGTCACCACAATCTGTCTTTTTAAATTGCTCATTACAATTTTACCAGGCAAGCACTGCACCAAGGGCCCAGCCCGTTTCCCCAGCCTTTTCCCTCAATATCCGCTCAGCCAAAGCCTCTGAGAGCAGCTCGAGCTAATTTCCTTACAGACATGCAAGCCAGTAATTCTGGGAAGCACAGATAGTCGGGAATAACAAACACGACCAAAATTAGATTAAAATAACCTGCTGATAAACAAATTACTCACCCAAAATACACATTGGATTAGGCACGGTGGGGATCCCTATAATCACATCGCCACCGTGTGGCTCCTGCTCCCTCTCATCCCCTCCAGCCTCGGCACCCCTGGCTTGGGCTGGTCTGTGCTTGGATAGAAGGTGTCCAGTTTTATTGCACTGCCCCCAAACTGGGAATGGTTTGCCTGGTTTATTCTGGGCTTTGGGGTCACTAAAAGCAATAGACCCCATAGCTAGGAGTGCCCTGGAGGCCATCCCACATCTGCTCAAACAGGCTCCAGCCCCTCCACACCTGGGGGTCTTGAAGACACAGGAGTGCTTTGAAGTGAGTTCCTCAGGCCTTAATACAGAGCTGAATCAAGATATGAAGACACATGTACAGAGAAAAATTAGAGAAAAGCCAAACGAGGCTGGAAAAAATAGCATGCTCACTCTGGGACAGAGAGAGGCGACTTTGGGAAAGTTTCAGTGCCTCATCCCACCTCAGTTTTTCTATAGCTATCAGGATCTGCCTCCTCCTCCCCACTCTGGCCTGTAGTGAGCATCTAGAAATTGAAGAAGGAAGAATGGACATGAGTAACACTGGAAAGTTTGACTGTAACACCAAAGAGAAGAAGAAAAAATCTGATGTTCTCACAGAAATTCAGCGCCATTACATATATTTACAATCAGAATGTTCAGCCTTACTATAAAGTCAGAGTTACATGGTGGAGTAACATGGTGGAGAGACAACAGATGTTGAATAAAGCAGCAAGGCAATGGAGGAAGGACTTGCTGTGAGCTGTTTGCTGAGTGCATGTGGGCATGGAAGGTGGTGAACAGCAACTGGGAGAGCAGCATGCAAGGACTGGAATGTGTGCAAAGAGGTTAGTCAGGAGTGAGAGACTGATGATCAGACAAGAAATGTCTTCTCCATGTCAGTAATCTGAGCTTTCACTGATAGAAAGGTGCAGCACTGCCATTAGAAGGGACTTAAATTTCTGCTCCTCCATTATTCACCATCTTTGATTATCACCACATGGCAATCACTGGATACAGGGACACAGCACAAGCAAGGTCTCTCATCTCTCTCTGGGTTTCCAAGCATTCTTCCCTGTCGTGGATGAAGCACAGCTTGTTTTGCTCCATCCCTTATTTCTTTAGGCCATCTTATACTTCCACCTCTGAAACACAACAGCAACAATTTCCCAGGTCCATCAGGGTTGGTAATATTTTTCTTATGCTGATGGTCTCTTTCCCAGGCATATCTTGCTTCTTGCAGTTCTGCACCTGATAAGTGAGCATTTAGCATCAGCTTCTGTTAGGAAGGAGACAGAAGCCAAACAGTTTCTAGCCTGCCCATGGCTCTGCAGGTGGACAAAGTCTCAAGATGAGCTTCTGGAAGCCTGAGATGAAGATGGATGTTTCTGACTCCATCAGGGAGACACACTGCCATCTGCCTGCTCCCTTTAAAACTGCTTTCTCACTGCAGCTCTGCTGGAAGCAAGAAGGACACTGAACCTCCAGCATGTATAACCATAATCCTCTGGATCTCTTTGGGCTGGAACACTCAAGCACAGACCTACAGGGATACCCCAGAATGGCCCTGTTCTTGCCCTGTCTGTCTTACAGCCTGCAGCACCATCAAAACACATTCCCCCCCCACCACCATTTCCCAGCAAGGTTTTCTCAAAAAAAATACCCTCACAATAACCAGTCCACCATTTCACTACTGTAGCACTTTCCAGGATTTCTGCCTTCTGTTTAGTTTGCATCCCAGCTAAAAATGCTCAAATGCCTCTGGGTGCTTTGCTGTGTAGAGCTTTACCCCATTTTCATAAGCAATTTTCAAGTGCTATAGCATTCACCATTTGATTCCTAACTTTCCAAGAACCCCTGTACCACTCAAATGCACTGAGGCCACAAATATGTCAACTGTGACAAAGAAAGATGTCCTGGTGCAATCCTGAAAAAGAATTCATCGCTTTTCCAAGCATGGTGAATTTATCTCAAGGAACCAGAGCTGTTTCTCGCATCTCCTGACTCACACTTCCCAAAAGACACAACCTGCTCATTTGTATGCAGCTACCAGAGCAGACTGCTCCAAAAGCCTGGAGCTTCTGTTGCCCTGACCCATAGGACAAGGAGAAAACTAGAATACATTCTTGGCCACTCAGAACTGCAGAAATCATTCAAAAAACACCAGGCAGCCTGACTTCTGGTACAGGATGCTCTACTTGATTTTACAGTATCATCACCATTTCCCAAATTGCCGTTCTGGTACCTTGAAAAAAAGAAAAACAAACTCTGAAAATAGACAATGTCTTTTCCTAAAATCACTTTCCTACTCATACCCAAACAACATTGCTATTATTTACATACTTTTCTCCCTTTCCATGGAACAGACAAGAAATTGGGAAGGGAAATAAGTATTTGCCACTGACTGGAGAAATTCCCCATTTCTGCCATTAGACCAAGCCCCAGGACAACATCTCCCACAGGGCTGGGGATGCTCCCAGAATCAGAAGTGGTACAGGAGACCCCTGCACTACTGCCTCTTTCCTATGCATTGCTCTTTGGAACCAAGGGATGAGGGAACACCAAGGGAGAGTGAGGATCACTTTCTCCAGCAGCACAGCACAGAAAGGAAAGTCAGAAAGAATATGAAGAAAAAAGCTTACTTGATTTCAGCAGAGCTGCCAGAGCCCCAATGGCTGCCCTGGGGAAAGAAGAGAGATGGAGAAATAATGTCAATTTCTTCAATAATTTTTGTAACCTTCATCTTCACAGTCTTCTGGGCCAGGCTTCCCAGATGGTCTAAACTGACAGTTTATGATGGACTTTGACAGAACTGCAATGTTTTACACCAACAGAGGATCCAGCCTCTGCAGCTGACTCAGTTATTCTAAAAGACCATTAACCCCCTAGCTTTACTGTTACACTGATTTGTAGTGACCATTAAAATTAAAAGCAACACCCACAAAGTGATCTAACAAGTCTTTAAACTGCTGCCCCAGGGCTTTTTCTTTGTACCAGAGACTTAGCACTTGCCTACTCCAGACACAAGAGCTTCTATCTGCATCAGCAGATAACTTTCATATCAAGCTGGGACATCAATGTCAATATTTCCAGCAAAATCCCACTCCTTTTTCTATTTTCCCAAAACAAGCTTCACCCCTATCCTCCCTCCCAGTTTTAACAGAAAACAAAACCAAATTTATTTTAACAGAAACCACACCTTGCATTACAGGGGTGTTTAGAGGGCCTTACTCAGAGGAGGACTGGCAGGAAAGGTGCTAAATCTCTGAAGTAAGACTGCTTGCAGTGAGCAAGGGCAGGGACAGACATTTCTGAGGACCTCCTGTGTCATTTCATTGTGCAGGTAAGCAATTGAACCTGCCTGACTGGTTTGGCTGGGAGCTGGTCACTAACACTTGCAGCTTGAGAAGTTGAACTGAGACACCATTGCTCCCCAGGTTCTGGAGGCAAGTTCCTTCCTCATGTGGTAAAATCTCCATCCCACTTGTCTCACAGGAGTCTTTATTTTCCAGCCATTTTCTGCTGGAGCAAGATCCCTGTTCCAACATGGCTTACTGTTGTGAAGCTTCAAGTGCCCAGAGCTGATTAAATAAATACAGCTACAAAAACCTCCATGTGCAAGGATTCCTTAAAATGTAATCTCTTTACAAACCAATCCCCAAATAAGATTGTATTACATTCCATACTGAGCCAATTATCATCCTGCATTTTGTGTCACCAAGCTCCTGTTTTTTGTATGTCCTAACAGCAGCTGAGACGAAGATTCAAGAGCTGGTTCTTGATTATACTGGGTCAACATCTCTATCTAAAGTCATTCCTTCATAATGAATCTGTCAAAGTTCAACAACAGCTTTACAGACTGCAAATAAACACACTCAAATACAGACAGAACAGGAAATCAGTAGCTAAAAATCTCACCAGTGGAAGTAGCACAGCCATGCTTTCATTACTTCTTTAGCTCCAACTGAACAGCAATCATTCACATGATGGAGGAGTAATGTCACCCACCAGCTATTCAGCCTGCTTAGAAAAGGAACATTCCACAGCCACTGATCACTCAGTCTCTCCACAGGTTCAAAGCCTGGGACAAAGTAAACAACTCTGAGCAAGTTAAAATTCCACCCAGAGCATCTCCCAAAGCTCACACTCCAGTATGTCTTGAAAAAGAGAGTGCTCTGCATACCTATATTTTACAGGTCTAGTGTGATATCTCAATCACCTGCTAGAGCAGCAGAGCAATGAAGAAATGACCAGAATATCTCTGGCTCCAAGCAGAAGTGTTCTCAGTATTTCCTCCAGGCATCTGTTTTATGTTATAGGTGCTTATGAGCATTGCTAAAAGTTTCAGCAGAGCTACACTATCGGCATAATGGCAACACTGCCAGCAAACCTCCCAGCAATAAATCAGCAAATCTGGATCTTCCAGTACTCCAGGGGGAGATCTGTGAATCACAGTGTATACAGACAACTTCATTCATCCTCAAAGGATCCCAGAATTCCCAGAGCATGTTCTCAGTCTCATCTCCAGTTCCATCTGGTCAGGTAGGGTCTACATACAGGTCCAGTAGATTGACTCCAATGATATGCATTGCTTTAGAACAAATTTTCAGAGAAAAAAAGCATAAAAGAAGATAAACTTATTTTACTGGTTTTGAAGTTTAAGGGATAAAACAGACTTACCAAGAGTAGATCAAGCCAGCCTAACTTGGTATCTCTCTTCGATAGGAAAACCAACTTCTTCTACACAAGGGAAGTGTGGTAGATCAATTTATCTGTACCTCAATAAAGCATCTGATATGATGCCACACTCAAAATTATTAGCCAAGCTGGAGAACATGGGGATTAGTGTAAGAATTGCAGTGTGGGAAAGGAATTGGTTAAAGACTCAATGACAGGAGTTGTGCTGGAAGAGGAATTATTAGTCTAGAGGGAACTTAAGTGTGGAAGTCCTCAAGGATCTTTTCAGACTGATCTTATTTCAGTTTTTCATTAATGACCTTGGCACAAAAAGTCAGAGTATACTAACAAAATCTGCTGACCGTGTGAAGTCAGGAACTGCTGCCAATAGCAGGGAGTTCAGAATATCTTTCAGGAGTAACAAGATGTTCTTGAGTTCTGAAGGAATAGAAATGTGATGAAATATAATAGTCAAAGTGCAAGGTTAAGCATTTAGGGTTTAATAAGGATTACTGTTATGACCAGGGGCTCGTAATTTGGAAATGAGTAGAAGGACACCCTGGATATATGAGCCCATTAAGGGATAAGGACAAGCATAACCAGCAGGGTGACAACCATGAAAAGGACAGATCAGGTCTCAGAAAACCAGTGGAGAAGGGAGCATGGACATTCTCATAGAAGGCTTCACCTGAACAGCTGTGTGCAGAACTCAGAAAGAACCATGCAGAAACCTGCCAAGGAAATCATTATGGTACCAGAGACATGACTCATTAGGAGTCTTAAAGATCAGAGTTTAATCACCTTAATAAAATGATAACCAAGAGACAACTGGATTGTTCCCCTCAGACACACTGGGTGGCAGAGAAGTAAACACTGAGGAAGGCACAGAGATACTTAGGCTAAGGAAAAAATTTGGCCCTAGGACAAATGGATATAAAATGGCCATGAATAAATTTATCTGGAATTGAAAGGATGAGTTTTAAGCACTGGAAAATGAAGGCATGAAACATCCTCTTGGCAGCAATGGCACAAACAACCTAATGACTTTGAAAAAGCAGTCTCGATTGCTTATAATGGGACTGCCAGGCTCAGTTGCCAACGAGGAAAGGGTCTGAGAAAAGTGACCCAGGAATGACTGTACCCCTATAGCCTTACATTTTAAACACAGATATAATGGGAATGAAATGAGAAACATGTTTTCTAAGTGCAGAGCTAATCAGCCAGCCCAGAAAAGAGCAGCTGCACCAGCTTAAGATGGAAGTCCAAAGAGTCCAGTGTCCTGTGGCCAGCAGTGCCAAGGAAAGCATGCAAGGCCACAGCAGACACAGTGTTAGGACTTGCAGAACAGACTCAAACTCCGTTAGTTTTCAGTCCAGAGGTCCCATAAGCTAGCAATGATGCCTTTAGGAGGGGTTTCAGCTCTTAGCTGATTTTGCTTCCATATATCTGCCTGAAAACTTTTGAACTTCTGCAAACTCTTAGCATTTATAATTATCCTGGAAAAGGACTTCACACCTGCATTTGTTTTAAGTTTGGACTTTCAATCAGCATTGTAATTTGCACATTAAGTCAGGTGTTAGTCACCCCCAAACATTACCTATCTTTGAGGCTGAACAAAACACCTTCTGGGAAACAATAAATCATAGAAGAGGAATAGAAGCAGAATAGGCTTTCACTGGAAGCAGTAGCAAGACCATTGAGGCATCAGTGAAGCTACAAGAAGTCAGGCAAACTATGTTTGTGATAATACCAGCACCTCTTAGCACCATATGGCAAACAAACAGCAGCTTTGCTGGCATCAGGAGATACAATGAGAGGAGTAAGCCTGGGATAGGAATGCAGAGAAAAGAGTTCATAAATTGTGTACAAGAGCAAGGATAGGGCAGGAGGAAGATGAGAACAGGAGGAAAATTTGAGAGCACAAGACAGATAACTTGGTGAGCCATATGCCAGACCAGAGAATTTGAAAGCATTCCCAGAGCAAATCTCTACATTTGTCTCAAGAAGGGATGGAGGGGAGATGAGGAGGGGAAAAGGGGATTAAATAATTAAAAAAACTTTGCCAAATCTGTCCAGATGCCTTCCTCTGATTCTCCAATTATTTCTGTGGTAATACATTAGCAAAATCTTAGCTGTTCCATCAAGTCCAGTGTATCCCAAAGGAGACTCATTTATGTATTAACAAAAAAGATGTATAAATAAAGTTGCACTATATTATAAAGCATAATAATAAATGCTGCTCCATAATCAGAAAACATTAAAATCTCCCTCTAGTAGCAGTCAAGACAGCCACTCTGCAGAATGGAAAACTTTGAAGTGTTTCCAAGTCAGCAGCTTGGATATCTGGGCAAGAGTACAACGAGCAGACAGATAGACAAATGCAACTTCCAGATCCTTTGCTTAGGAACCAGGAGCAACAACAAAGAAAAACTCCATGTCCCAAGCCAAAGCACAATTGGATTAACCAGTAAAACCAGGCTGTTAAAGAGCCTGGACAAAGGAGCCCTGTACCGAGGTCACCCTTTCAGATCTGAGCTGCCAGGATATTTTTTGCTGGAAATCACTGCAGGCAGAGGAGACTGAAAACCAAGATCCCTTCCATTTTCTTCTGCATGGTAATCTCAGCTCACAGCACAAGGCACTATGATGGACAAACCTGGGCCTGTTTCTGTCTCTTGAAGAAAACAGGAGAACTCCTGAAAATACAAAACCCCACTCCAGAAGAGAGACACAGGGCTGACTGCATGGAAGGATTTAAATACTCACATTGATGGTGCACAACCACCCAGGACCAGCCTGGAACTATGGACAGCAGACAGCACAGAAACCAAAGACTGAACAAAGAAATTAACCAAAAGAGCTCTGCAGATCAGCCCCCAGGTAACTTAACCAATCCTTTCTTCTGTGAAATTGTGCCTTCTACATGCTAAAGCACAGAACACCGTCTTCAAATTATTGAATTAAAGCTAATGACTTGGTTCTTTATTATTAACATCTTCAACC